GGCGCATGCTCGCATTCATTGTTGTCCTCAAATGTCTTGTACTTTGTGCCATTTTCACTGTAAATGTTGCGCATTCATCACAATAGAGTTTATGATGGCATTCAAAGTTTGTTTCTCCTGAATCACAATCGCTTCCTCGTGGAGAAAGTAATTTCATCAAGTTAAAGGCAGCGGCCCGCAGAATGGCACCTTTTGGATATTAATAGTTTTCAGCTCCCGGATGAGCTAACTCCAAGACTGTGCTTTGCAGCTTCAAAACATATCACTAACCCCCTTTTCCAGCGTGAAAAATGTATTTGGGCGGACTGCGTATTCTTACCTTCTAGAGCGCAATTGGCTCGTTAGTATAAATACCATACCCACCGTACCCACGAGCCAATCGCGCTTTAGAAAGCAGGCATACGCGGTTCGCCAAAATAGCATTTTTCATGTCTGGAAAAGCGGATTATCGATCTAGGCTGCAAAGCACAGTTATGAACTTAGCTCATCCAGGGGAGCTGAGAACGATGATTATCCCAAAGATGCCATTTTGTCGAGCCGCTGACTTCAGATAATCAAAAGCTTTGGAGAGCTTGAGCTTGATTTTGGTGTAAAAGGCCGGAGTTTTGCAGCGGTTTTTTCTTCCCTTAAATAGCATTTTTTCTTGTAGAGAAAAACCTCCCACCACAATTCACTTTGCGATAACTCTCTCACGCAACTGTTCGACTTTTTTCCCTTTGACGCGGTAATGATCAAAGTGGCCGTTTTCAGCAGAAAACCTCGAGGTCGTGGTCGTGGCGCAGCGTCTGCAGCAGCTGGAGGTGGAACTCGACCGAACGGTTATCATTCAACAGGAAGTACTCGAGGACGAGGTGGACGAATGAGCTCCGGCGCAAAAGCTGCGGCTCCCCCGCCAGCTCCACCTCAACCGAAATTCGAACTGCATGACGTAGCTTGTCCAAATACGTCTGCATATCTAGGTGAGTGTTTCTTTTGTCTTGAATTCGAACCTTTTTTTGTGTTACTAGGCTTTATACGGCGCTTGATTTTTTTACGTCTACGTTTTTAGGCGCATTGAATTTGCCGAAATTTGCATCTATACAACCAAAAAGCGAAGTCAAAGAAGATAACGCCGACTGCGATGATGAAAAACCGTCGACGTCAACTCGATTAATCAAAGAAGAAATAGCGGATGAGAGGAGTAACTCCGGATCGGGTTCAAGTGTAATATTGGTCGAGAATGGAGAATGCGAGGTGAGAAGCTAGATTTCTATGAAATGGGTTGAATTACAGTCCTCTGTTCAGACTGGTAAAGAAAAAACGGGTGAACAATCCAAGGAGAATGGAGCAATCAATTCATCGGAAAGTTCGGCTGAGACGGAAGATTCGTCTACGTCATCTTTAGATGTGAGTAATATTACCAGTTTTGGTTTAGTTATTCATTTTGCATTTCTTACTGGACTTTTCTATGTTTAAACTGCTTTAGAAAAAGGAGTTGATAGAACCAGATTCTAAGCAACATATTATTCAGTCGAAAGACTCTACTACGGATAAGTTACCTTTTGTGGAGGAAGTGATATTCGACGAATATTCGTTGCTGCTATTCACATGTGTATCTGATGCGCAGGTGAGTATCCTGGGCAACTTTCTTGTGTAATTGTGAAAAGAGCCAGTCAGAGAGTCGCACTTGTTTACGCACTTATGCTTTTTACTTTTTCACAATCAGGATTGACACATGACAGGTGTGGCTCCATTTTATTCAGCTACTCCAGGTCAGATCAGACTCAGTTATTTCAAGTTAATTTCTCGGAAGCGTTTACTTTACTCTTTTCTCAAATCTAACAAGGAGAAGATAGTGGTGATTGTAGCTTTTTGCAGTGGAACGTATACCAGTAGATGCGCCTTGAGACGCTGATTCCAAATCTATGTTCATT